TCACATTGGCATGTCTTAGAGTTAGAACTGACAAGAGTTTGTAGCATAGGTAGTCAATCATTCAAAATATATGTACCTTATTTGAATTCTGATCCTTTTTACCTTTTTAGAAATATGATATGACACTTATGAACAAATTAGAACAAAATCTTATGAGTTCTATTTGAGGAGTGATTTGAAGGAAGGGCAGTAAAGGACTTAGACAAAGACAAAAGGGAGGAGTGGAAAGCCAAGGCAATGTACATCACCAAGTATCACAGCTCTAGGCAGCAGGGCCTCTCCAAAGAGCCTATAGAGTGTTCTTCAGAATTTTCTTCTTGAGGGATAGAAGTCTACACACCCTCTGGGCCCTGATCCAATTAATCAAGTGTTGCTCAAGGGGTATAAAGTCTGTTAAGGGCCACTAGGTTTATGCATATAACAGAACAGCTGAAGTGTTTCAAGGAGGTGTTCCTCGAGGGAAGCAAGTAGAAGGTGAGCAGTCCACAGCACAGCTGAGGTATTACCAGGCTACCCAGCATGATCTGGTTGCCATAGCAACAGCTGAAAGATGGGCGGGAAAAGATGTGAAGTAGAGAATCATGGATGCCTATTGCCCAGTTAGCACATTGCGAAGTTTAAAACACCCCAACTCTCTACTTTGATAAATACTCTTTCATCATGACCTTGAGATTGAGCTTCAGACTGTGACAGCATGGTGACGTTTGTTTCCTAGCCTCATCCATGACCTGCCCTGTTCTCTTCCTAGCCCTGGGTCCACCTTATGTCACAAAGGTCCTTATGCACACATATGAGGATACTTTGCCCAGACTCCATTCCCTCATCCCTCAAAGACAACTCTCCCTTGGTGACACGTGCACCTAGAGAATTGCACATTAGGGCCATGCCCAGTAAGACGAGAGTCCTACTGCACTTTCTGTTGCTCTGATAAAACATTCTAACCAAAGCAACTTGGGGCAGGAAGAGTTTATTTGGCTTACATGTCCAGGTCATAGTCTTATTCTGAGAGAAGTCAGAGCAGGAACTCAAGTAGGAAAATGAACACAGGAACCAAAGCAGAAACTATGAAGGAATGTTGTTTCCTGGCTAGTTCTTCAGTTTACTTTTAAATTCAACCAGGGCCACCTGCCCAGGGATGTTACCACCCACTGTGAGCTGGCCTTCCCACATCAATTATTAGTCAAGGGAATGCTGCTGAAGATGCCTACAGACCTCTGATGGAGTCATTTTCTCCATTGAGGTTCCTTCTTTGCAGATGACACTAGCTGTGTCAAGTCCACAAAAATCTAGCCAGCGCAAGTCCAGAAATGACAGGTCAGAGCCTCGGGAGAATGGAGAGGAGCAATTCCTAAGACTTGGCATCCCTAAGAGTCTGGATCAGAGTTCTAGGTATCCCTAAGAGTCTGGATCAGAGTTCTAGGTATCCCTAAGAGTCTGGATCAGAGTTCTAGGCATCTCTAACAGTCTGGATCAGAATTCTAGATCGGAAAGTTCCCTTGACACCTGGGGTGAGGTGTGATCAGAGGAGGGACAGCTGTGGCATAGAGCAGGGGTCCCTGCTGCTCAGGACCAAGAACAGCACCTGTTCTTTGCTGTTGTAAACTTTACACTGTGGGGTTCTGGACTCAGCTGGCTCTGTAACAAAAAGCTCACTGTGGCATAAGCAGCTAATCTAATACATATGTTCAGTGCTGGGCTTCTTCGTTTGTAAAGCAGGAAGGGAAAACTGGCTTTGAGACTCTAGTAAGAAAGTGTCCATAGCATCTACCCACCACTGCATGGACAGAAAGCAGGCCTGTGAGGGGATAAAGGTGCCTCCTCCACTCAGTGGCACTGAATAGGGTTTATCTCTAGAATGGAGGGTATAGCTGAGAGGCGGAGGGGAGGAACACAGGCTTGAGACAGTGTCCTTTATGTGGTGACATTTGCTGACAAATAGACAAAGGAGAGTCACTTGGTTATTTTTCTATAAAGTCCCCAAATTGATTTAAAAGCTGCTGTGGACTCCACTGGGCTATAAACTCCTTCCGTGGAGAACAGAGAAGACTCTAACATCTGAAGTTTATCATTTATTATTATTCTCTGATAAACCCAAGCTGCTAGAGTGTCCTGTGGTACATAGTAAGTGCTCAGTTAAAAATGCAGAATGGGCAATTTAAAATTGAGTTTATTGCTCGTAATCAACCTCATACATGGGCTCTAAAGTTTCCTCAGGAATGAGAAATGCCCCCCACAGTCAGTCCTTTGACCACTTGGGCCCCAGCTGGGGGTGATGTCTGGGGGAGAGGATTAGGTGGTGCAGCCTTGCTAGAGGAAGTCACTGGGGCCTTTGCGATGAAGAGCCTTGAACTATCTCCAGCTCACTCTCTGCTTTGAGCTTTGTGTTTGAAGATGTAAGCCCTCTGTTTCCTGTTCCTGCTGCCATGCCTACCGCTTGCTGACACGCTTCCTCACCATGAGGGATGTATCCCTCTGAAACCCTAAGGCCAAATGAACTCTTTATTCTGTAAGTTGTCCTGGCCATGGTGTCTTACAACAGCACTGGAAAAGTAACAGCTACACCAGGTCTCTCCAGCTGGAGTCATTCCCTTCTTAAGCCTGTTTTTCCCCAGTCTCTTGCTTCTGTGGGTTCGCAGCCCTGCTCCGGAAGCCAGCTGTCATGGCCTTGTCCTCAGCACCTCCCTCTTCACTAGCCCTTATATTCACCGAAGCTGTCTTGGCTGTTCTACCCATTCACTCGCTGTGTTTCCGTTTATCCGATTCATTATCGAGGCCAGGTGGCTGCTTAGTTCAGGCTACGATTCCCCTCTCTCCCGGAGATCTGCGGCAGACTTTAGCCGCTCTCCTCCCTCACACTCAGGTCCCCTGAATACACCGTCCCCGATGCAGCCAGAGAAACCTTTATGAATACACCGTCCCCGATGCAGCCAGAGAGACCTTTATACCTCTGATCACATCCTCACTGGACTTAGGGGAAAGCTCAAGCTCCTTGGTACCACCTGCAGGTACCAGCTGCCTCTCTAAATAACAGGCTCTTGAAAAATCTGTCTTGGTTCGATTTTTGTCAACTTGACACCAGCTAGAGCTACCTGGGAAGAAGACCCTCAATTGAGAAAATGCCCCCATCAGATTGGCCTGTGGTCAAGCCTTTGAGGTATTTTCTCAATTGATGATTGGTGTGGCATGGCCCAGCCCATTGTGAGCGGCGCCACCCCTGGGTGGGTGGTCCCGGAGTGTGTAAGACAGCAAGCTGAGCAAGCCAGAAAGAGCAAGCCGGTAACCACAGCTCCTCCAAGGCCTCTGCATCAGCTCTGACGCCAGGTTCCTGGCTTGAGTTCCTGCCTTCACCACAGGTGTAAGATGAAATAAACCCCATGCTGCTTTTAGTCATGATCTTTATCACAGGCGGAAAAGGCTAACTAAAACAACAGGCTTTCTCTTTCTTTTCTTTAGAAATTATAAAATTTAAAATCACAGGTGGAAACTCTAAACACCAGGGCCCAGCTGAGCCAGGGCTGCCCCGGTAGCCTGGTGTTCTGACCTTGGTTGTAGGGCCACAGCCACTTTGCACAGTGTCTTGGGCACTTTGAATTGACCTTCCTTTGGAAGTAGAATTCATTTAGTCCCATGAGTCACTGGGCTATTTCTAGAAATTACCATCTTTCCCTGAAGTGACCTCTACTGACATTTGATCGGCTTGGGCTATGGGGCTCCTCCAGAGAGCCTGTGCTGGCCTGTTTCAGTGACCCCAACCTCAGGGGACTATCTTGCAGCTGGAAGACTTCTCCAGAAGTAACAAAAGTGGCCTCATGGCAGCTGTACCCTCGTATCAACTTTCCTGTCTCCCTAGTCATAGGGACAGCTTCCACGGTCAGCTGCAAGGAAGCCTTGCGTCACTTGTGGCTTAGTGGACAGGCCACAGTGTGGGCTTTGTCTGCTATTTTGACTGGACATGCTTCTTCACATCTCTGAGTCTTGGCTTGTTCATCTATCAGCAGGGATAAAGGTTACAAAAAGCTCACCGTGGTTATTGAACGAAGCGAGTGTGTGTTGCATTTGACATCACTTCTTTTTTTTTAATCTCACTATGTAGTTTTAGTTGGTCTGGCTGGCCTTGAACTCCCGGCAGTCTGGACTCTGTCTCCTGAGTGCCGCAGTGACAGGTCTGCACCACCACACCCAGCCCTGGCATCACCTTTTGTAAGGGTCTTATGAATACCGAATATTGTTATTTTCTTTCACATGCCAAGTCCAGAGCTTTGTTTTCTTTCAGTGCTAATGTTCAGATTCAGGACCCCACACACGCTGGGTGTGAGAAGTGGGGCTTCATAATAAGAGCACTGGAGGCTCAGGGTGGCAACAGCCAAGCAGTCTGCTTTGTAACCAGAGCTATTACTGATGGGAACAGGCTCCGCCCTCCCTTTTCTCATTGGCTGACCAATCAGCTGGGTGCGCTCTTGAACACCATCTGGATCTTATCTTTCCCTCTGCTGATTATATTCGTCATTTTTTCCCCTCAACAAAAACCATATGTGGTTTTATCTCTGTGTTTTATACCCCACTTCCTTTGGAGCTCACAGGGTGTATGGTTGTTATGTCTGCAGATTGTCAACAAAGCTTGACTCTTTGTAATTTTCTGCTCTCATCTTCTAACAGAATCAGGGCAGGGTATTTAGATTAGCAGGTTCCCAGCGTCTGCTGCTCATCTGTAATTGGTCCTACACTCCTACAATGACTCGGGCATTTTATTTTGAAAATAAACCCTCCAATTTTGTTACTTTCTCTAGGCTAGTTCAGTCTACCACTGAGTTGAACAACCAGCTTTAAAAGCTGTTTTGGGGCCGGGTGGTGCGCATGCCTTTAATTCCAGCACTCGGGAGGCAGAGGCAGGTGGGTCTCTGTGAGTTCGAGACCAGCCTGGTCTACAAGAGCTAGTGGTTTAAGTTGGCTTTGTGGATGCCTGATGATGTCTCTACTTTGTGTTCACATTTTAGAAGCAACCTTGGAGTGGAATGTGACAAGTTTGTGAAGATGGCCAAGGTCAACACTCAATACTCCCAGCCCTCCCTGACCCACAGTTCAGTAAAGACCCCAGACAGAGATCTCAGTCACGTTGAGAATGGCCTTGGCAGGTATGATGGGCTCTTTGTTTCTTGTGGGTTTATGAATTATTCCCATGACTGAGACTAAGAAGTGTGTCTTAGTGTTGGCCAGCCACAGGACGGTATTGGGGCATTCACAGTTCATTGTACTCTCTTAGTTTCTTCTATTCTTGAGATCAAATACTCTGACCAAAGCAACTTAAGGAGAAGAGGTTTGTTGTGGCTCATAGTTCAAGGGTACAATCCATCATGTTGGGGAAGCTATTAGGTGACTGCTACATTTATTAATTTTTTCTAACCTTTATTTTGTTTTATTATAATTACGGGTGTGTACAGTGCATATGTGGAGGTCAGAGGACAGCTTTCAGGAGTTGGTTCTCTCCCCCCACCATGGGGGTTCCAGAAATCAAACTCATCTTTTCAGATTTGCATGGCAAGAACCTTCACCTGCTGAGTCATCTCTAGAGTCCATGGTTCTTAAGTTCTTACTGAGAGGACTGAGTTGAACCATGAGAAACTTTCTTATCCTTGTCATTTTGTCCTACCATTATAGAATGGCCCAGCCCATCTAAAACTAGAAATTTCTCCCTGCTATGGAAATGCATGGTAACTGATGACTCAAAACAGCTATGGCAGTCCCTCATTCCCCCATCCCTCATCCATCATTTCTTCTCAGTCCCTCATTCCCCATCCCTGATCCATCGTTTCTTCTCAGTCCCTCATTCCCCCATCCCTGATCCATCGTTTCTTCTCAGTCCCTCATTCCCCCATCCCTCATCCATCGTTTCTTCTCAGTCCCTCATTCCCCATCCCTCATCCATCATTTCTTCTCAGTCCCTCATTCCCCCATCCCTGATCCATCGTTTCTTCTCAGTCCCTCATTCCCCCATCCCTCATCCATCATTTCTTCTCCGTTGCAAGCCTCCATTCCTTTCTCAGATGCATGCTTGCTCTTTTCTTTGTCTAGGCTCTTAATCCTCAGGTCCAGAGTGAACTCTTAACAAATGCAATGGTTAGTATTGGTAGTCAACTTAACAGGCTCTAGAATTACCTAGGAGACAAACTTCTGAGCATGTGTGGGAGGGAGCTTCTGTATTAGGTTAACTGAGGTGTAAAAAAGAGGCTATGTGTAGATTTTATGATAATTCTACAATTTTATGTAATGGACTTGGGCATCTGAAGATGAGAGTATTGTCTGAGGTGGGGATCCTGGAGTATATTCTATGAACAGCTATGTATCCATCAGGCATCACCTAATGTATTTGTTTTTGTAAGCTCACATGTTTGTGTGTCAGGTTATCTTAGAGTGTCATCTACACTCAAGGCTAGGGATGTAGCCCAGTTGGTTGAATTCTTGCCTAGCTAACATACATACAGCCCTGGGTTTGGTAGTAAGTTGCAGCATCAGCCCAAATGTTTGCCTAACCAGAAAGCATTGTGGACTCTGTCCTGACTGTGCCTTGACAGTAACCTATGAGCCCCGTCTGACTTGTGAGATCATGAGAGCTCTTGATCATCTGCCAAACACAAAGCCACCACACAAAGCCATGCTAACTCCCTACCATGGGCCTCTGGCTCCTAGCAGTCTTGCTGCAGGATTCCACTGTGTTCTGAGCAGGTGAAAGTCATATCATGGTCAAGGGATCTGAACTGATGTCCTTGGAAAATGCTACTTGCCATCCTAAATTTGGATCTTGGACATCACCCAAAGACTTTTGTGTTAATGCTTCTGTCTAAGGGTGGCACTAGGAGAAGGCAGAACTCTTAAGAGGTGGGCTTTGTGCGAGGACCTAAAGTCATTGGACTCATAGCCCCAAGGGAAGCTGTGGGACTCAGGACCTCTAATTTTTGCTCCACTGTGTATGATGGGCTGCCATATATATGTATGTATGTATGTATGTATGTATGTATGTATATATATACATATATATATATATCTTGAAATACCATAAATAAAAGTGTCTTAATCTGAGCATGGTGGCACACGCCTACAATCTCAGTTTTCAGAAACCAGAGAAGGGCAATCAGGAGTTCAACTTTAGGGACATAAGAAAACATGTCTCACAAACGTCTTGAATTTTCTTTCCTTCTTAGTTGTTTGATTCCATTTTAAGATACTGCAATAGCAAAAGACTCTTCAGAGTGTACTACAGAGAATTACAATTAGGTCTGAGAGTACCCCAAATCGAGACCATAGAGGACACTGAGACAGAGGCTGTTCCTTGAGGCTACAGGATTTTTTTCTTGGTTTTTCAAGACAGGGTTTCTCTGTAGTTTTGGAGACTGTCCTGGAACTCGCTCTGTAGACCAGGCTGGCCTTGAACTCACAGAGATCCACTTGTCTCGGCCTCCTGAGTGCTGGAATTAAAGACATATGCCACCCCCCCCAGTGAGACTATTAACAAGCAGATAAATAGATGGCAGCTTGGCAAAGGGTTCTGGAGAGGAAACCAGGGCCCATGTGGCAGAAGTGTGAGTCTCTTGTACCTTTCTGAGGATGGGGGAAGTTGTGCAGCTCAAGCTTGCAGCCAAGCTCTCTGATTCCCAGGCAGGAGTCAGAGAAGGGGGTGGGGAGCAGGATGTGTGCCCACCAGTACCCATTTTGATGTAAACTCACTTCCCTGGTGAGAGGTGCCTGTTATCTGGAGACTCACAGGGTCTTAGCAAGGGCCGCTTAGACAGGAAGCGGAATGCTATAAGGTGCTGTGGCCTGAGCAGCCACTGGAGTCTAACATTGTGTACATACAAGAAATTCCAGAATATTCCTTGGGATCAGAAAGGAGAACCCAGCATGTGTTCAAGATGAAACTAAAGCTGCCTTGGGACAGAGGCAGAGTCTATATCTATGCAGGGCTTCTCAACCCAGCCTAGAATTTATTTATTCTCCATGTAAGATTGAACAAATAGGACTGGGCAGATGGTTCAGTGGCTAAGAGCACACTAGCTGTTCTTCCAGAGGATCAGGGTTCAATTCTCAGCACCCACATGGTGGCTCACAGTACCCGGGGATCTGATGCCCTCCTCTGGCCTCTCAGGCACAAGTCACATATGTGGTGCACAGACATACATGTAGGCAAAACGCTCATGTATATAAAAATTTTAAAGCAGATTTACAAAGGACTCTGATACATACACAAAACATTGTGAGTCTAAAAATCACTATTTTAGGGGAAGAAATTGTGTTTGGACAGACCTCGTCATTACATTCAAATCACAGTCCCTTGGGGGAGCTCTTGGAATAAATAATTAAGACTTCTGTACTGAACTAGAATACATTGTTTGTTCCCAATCATAAAATGGGGCTGTCATCTCATGTGCCACCAGTCCTTCCCTAAATGCCCCTAGGGAGACAGAACTACCAATGTTTTATCCCCTGAGACAGACTTACCACAAGATCTCTCACCACACTGAAGGCCCAGTTTTCCTTTTTATTAAGTTATTAGAATGGTTTTCCTAAGGGAACATCACAAGAAAGAATGAAAATGCTTCCTTCAAATGAATATATATATATATACATATATATCTTGAAAATACTAGAAATAAAAGTGTCTCAATATGAGCATGGTGGCATATGCCTACAATCCTAGTTTTTGGAAGCCAGAGAAGTGCAGTCAGGAGTTCAAGGCCAACCTTGGTGACATAAGAAAACATGTCTCACAAAAGTCTTGATTTTTCTTTTCTTCTTAGCTGTTTGACTCCATTGTAAGATACTACAATAGCAAAAGACTCTTCAGAGTGTACTACAGAGAATTACAATGAGATCTGAGGGCACCCCAAATCCCCACCTATCTCCTGATGTAGCTGTTTTGATGGAGCTTTGGGGTGCAGGGGCCTGTGTCTTACAGAAAAGAGGTTTCTTCACGCTGCTGTCTGAGCAGAACCCAAAGCAATTATCACCAAAGAAAACCATTTTCACGCTGCTTCTCAGGGATCTTAAAAGTGCACTGTCTTCTGTTCCCCGGTCACATGTGCCCAGTGGAGTCATTCAGGGTCCTCGGGACTTGAGAAGAATAGTGTCATGTTCTCTAGCTTTGTGCCAGCAGATCATGTGTGTTTGCTCTCCTGTCCCCATGTCCTGAATAAGACAAGATGATACACAGAGTGCTCTGATGTTTATGGCACCTCTGTCCTTGCCCAGTAACTGGTGACATGGGAAACCTTCCCAGCACTCACTTCCCTCTACACACATATTTAGAGATTGAATGTCACAATCTGAAATTTCTCTTGTGTTTAAAAGTCATTTCAATGTATTGTACCAGTTGTCATTGTCCTTGTTGACTTCAAGGAGTCTCTCACACTGGTACCACCCAGAGGGAAACTGATCTCCTCAGAACAGGTTTCATACATGACTGACAATTCATCAGGACACCTTGTTGGAGATACTGGAGCCAGGATATAGACGGGCTAATAACAGGCAGGACTGTGCCTTCATCAAAATGACTTACCCCAGGACTCCAAACATGGACTTGGGGAATGATTGGACCTCTTAGTCCCTCTTCCCAATGAGGCCATATTAAGTAAATCTTTTTCTGCTTTTCACTATTAAATTGTCTCTTTAATTGGCTTATTTAGGACAGGTGACTGAGGGTGGCTTGCCAGAGATGTCAGGGTCCAGCCTGACACTATTAACTCCAGTAACAGTTTGTTCTTAGAAGGCAACATCATTACACCTGAAGTCATCACCAAGTTGGTGTCATGCTGTTCCCTGGCAGCCCTTTCTGCCTCCTGCCTCTCAGTTTCTTGGAAGGATCTAGATCCCCATCATTTCACTGCCTACCTACTTTATCCTCATCAATACCTGTGTCTTCCTGAGGGCTCAAATGTCACCTCAAACACTCAGTTCCTCTCTGCTCTGTCCATCTCCCTCCCAAGTGTTTGGTAAGATAAGTGTCTCTGAGAAGAAATGACAGTCATGAAGTTGGCAGTGAGGATTACCTTCCTGGAAGTCTGTTGTTGGGGAATGTCACATGGAACAGCCATGGAATGTGCGTTACTAGCTGGTAGGAATTCTTAAGCTCATTGTAATCTGA